CATCACCGGTCCTACTTAAAGTGGTGCCTATCATAGTTTCCGGTCCTCTAGGTAGTGTGAATACGTATCTATACACGTATATAATAAATATGTCACCATTAATTTAAATAAATAAAAAGAAAACAAATTTGAAAAGGCAAGGTTTACCTTAGGTTTGGGAAGGACTGAACATTCAGTAATAAAGTAACACTCCATCTATCGACCATGATATACTAATCGCACAATTAAGACTGATAAGTAGATATTCTAAAGGGTAATCTCTAACTACTTCCAGTAATTGATACTAGATGGCGCTACGTCTGACAAAGAAATATAGGAAATCCTTAGAAAATAATTTTGAGTTCTTAAAAGGAAAAACATGCAAAACTAACAACTACCTTAATAAATAAATAATATACTAAATATCTTGACATTAATATCAAAATATTTCGTGGCGGAATTCATGACAGTTCGGGGATTGGCGCCAAAACGAAATCTTATAAACTCGTTCGTGATTGGTGGATACTTGTGATCGGTAATAAAAGCCGGCGGGAAGGGATTCTGGGGGGGAGAGGTATAAAAGGGAACGTGAGATCGGGTTAGGGGCTTTTTTGGTGAGGCACATCAACGGAGACGGAACTCGGGACGTCGTGGGCTGTATAAGGCTGAGGATAGGCAGAGGATCTTTGGCAAGTTTTGGGTCCAGGGCTTCCGCTTTGGACCACAAGTAAGTGCCATTAGGGAACGTAGGCTTATTAAAAGTAGGGAGGTAGGATTAGGCTAATGTTTCTTTGTGCAATTTGTGTGTTTTATCATTAATTACTTTATAATTATGTCTTTCAGATGTTTTATATTATACTATCTATTTATATACATAACATACTACTCGAATACCACATAACTAACCTGACATAAGAAAATAACCACTTTGAATTAATCTAGTCAGTTTCATAATTCTAATTTTCAATTTCAATTTCTAGCGGTCCAGTTTGGAATGAGAATTCTTATGTGTTTCACTTTTCTTATTTGGACTCCTTTTTGAGTCTGTTCGTACTAAATTTTATTACTAGGTTTTCATAGTTTTCAAAGAAGTCACAGTATTGGGTTGTTCCGATCATTCGTTAATATCGCAGGTGTTGTCCGTCATTTGAATGTATGGTTCGGTGAGATATCAGTATCAATGATCCCTATCTCATGCTGAGTCAGGATGGTGATCACCGCCAGTATCGGAAGCGTGTGAGATAGCTCGGTTGATTACCTGTGCCATCAGCTCAGTGGACGGCAAATAAGCCTGTTATATTGACGAATAATTGTGGGACTTCGCTTTATTGTCCTTCTGATGTGGTATCTAATGTTCCTGGATGTGTGTTCCATTTTGGTGGGGTCCTGTTCGATATGGTGTTAGTTCTCGCCGTATCCCGTACTGGAGTGGTCCAAAGGGCGCATTCCCCTTGGTACCGGTGGACGACAATTGATGCTATGTCGAACTATGTTCCATTGTCTTTATGGAGGACATCAGTCTGGGTATATTAACGAACCACATAGGGTTTTCTTTTGCTCTTTGGCAGAGCAATTCTTTTGTTTGATGGAGGTGTAGCTTTATTTTCTGGTTAGAAAGGTATTCCTTGCTGGACCGCTTAGAGTTAATAATGGTTAAGGGGCCGTGTGGTGGGCCCTGGGCTTTGAGCGTGGTTGGGGCTCGAAAGCACTTTAAACATTAGCAATGCTGTATTTATTTTCTTATTTTTTATACATATTCCCTGGCATTGCTGGTGTTTACTTACCTTATATCCTTTCCTACCCTATATACTGATTTTATAATTTTCTTTTAATATTTTAAGCCTTATTTTATAAACAGTTTCTTATATTTTATTTACTTACCAAAGAGAAAACTTTTACTTTTATTATTTTATGCATGACAATGTTTTATCATCTTTTAGGTTTGTTTAATTTATTAGTTTAAAATGTAGTCTTTTACATGCCCTCAAAAACATATACTCTAACCACTCACAATCACCTTCATACAAAGAATCTAAGGTTGCTACAAATACAATACACAACGAGGAGTCCTGCCATTAGACGATCACAACTTTATAATGATGGCCAATATTTTGTTAATATTTATTTTATTAAAGTTTTATTTTAAATAATTCTTTTAAATATAATTAACTATTTATAATTATATGTGTGTATAAGGGGGGGAAACGTTACAATTGGTGCCAAGTGACCAGGATGTGAGGTCTCAAGTATTGTGAGAAGTAGGAGTATCCTGGGGGCGTGAATTTATTCTTAAATACTAATTTCATATTGATTTAAATTTGGTTTCACTTCATTTTGGTTTCAAACACTAAAGGTCTTATAATTATTAAATTTTTACTGGTAGGTTAGTAATTATGTGAATACTAGCTTCATTAGTTCTTGATTGTTGTTAGGTAAATAAAAGAAACACATTATTTTAAATAATAATATGAAATAACCATTTTAATTTAACTCGCTGGATAGCAATTAATTCACTATAAAAAGTTCATTTGATAGAAATAAATTCACTTTAATGTTCTTTCTTCAATATGTGTGCATGCCTGTTTTAATTTCTGTGCTTTATTTAGTAAACTAACATGTTCTCTTGCAGGTAATACGACAAAATATGTATTTCAATATCCACATCTTTTATTTCATTTACCTCTAATTTATATGGTTGTACTTCAAACTATTTTGTGTACCTTTTCCTTTTATTTTAATTTCTGTGTTTAATTATGTGTAGATGCCTTAAGTTGTTTCTTTTTCTGTGTATATTTTCAGTTTCTTCTTTTACAACGACCAAGACAATTTCTGTACTTTATTTAGTAAACTAACACTTTCTTTTGCAGGTTGTACGACAAAATAGTTAGATCAATATCCACATCTTTATTTCACTTATCTCTTATTTATATGGTTGTACTTTAATCTTAATTTTGTGTGTACATTACTTTTATTTAAATTTCTGTGTCTAATTATGTGTACATGCCTTAAGTTGTTTCTTTTTCTGTGTATATTTTCAGTTTCTTCTTTTACAACGACCAAGACATATTTGGCCAAACCAATGTCACATGAGTTTGTGTGATTGGTAGTAAGCTATTCCATCCTGATTACTTTTTCCTTCTTTATCTGTTTGTTGTCCTAGGTCTTATGATAACAAACATTCTTATTTATTTATATGCCTATATACATTATTAGGTATGGTTAGGGCTTAGGGTGTTAGTCTTCGGATAGAGTGCTAGGCAAATATATTGAGAATATTGTAATTCTATTATAGATTTTAGGTGGATAATGCACTCAGGTATAATGGTGAATATGCTCTTGATAGGTTTAGGTTCACAAGGCAATTTAGTAGCAATATCTTGATAGGATAGGTAATCAAAGCTGGAACATTATGTAGGCACAACATAGGAATTGCATTCTAGATTTTACATGCTATAGCATTTGTAAGCTCAATATAATTAGGTAACTGAAAACAAAAGAGAATAGCTTTTCAATTAGGTCAACAAGGTGGCAAATACACAAATGACCATTTACTAGGGTGAGATCTACAACTTACACAAAACACGATACCTGTTTATTGTTGGAAACAGTATGTATTGCAATTCATTATTACAAAATGTGCAATCGTATTAATTTACTAAAGTTACGAAAAATAATACAAGTATCTCAAAACAATCTTTTGGAGTAGAGTAGTAGTAGTAACTAGTAGTATTATAGTTCGTCCATGGGACAGGCGAAGGAACTAAGCCATACAGCCAAATCTTGGGTCTTTTGGAGTAGAGATAACGGATATTATAAATCGTTAGTTAAATCGATTTTATGTTTAGTGACTGAATCGAGTTACCGATTAGAAAGGATAAATATATCTATTTCACTGTCTAGCAATAAACTGACATTTATAAATATAAATGCTACCTATATATTAATGATTGATTATTGTAAGGAACTATAAAGTCAATTTTGAAAAAACATTATCTACTTAATTTCTTAGTTTTATGAACAGATAACGATTTGCTTAATTCGATTATATTATATCATCTAATCTACTCGTATGTTTGTGTAAATAGCATAGGATGCATACGGTTAGGTTTGGTGTACTACTTATTATTGAATATTGCATTAATATTGAATAACATCACCGGGATTAAAATTGCTTGAAATAGTCGCGTAAAATTTATTGTAATATTAAGTTATTTCATAATAAATACAATTTAACTTTTAAAATATTAGTGATTGAATTGCGTAATAGTCATATTGATTTAATAAAAATGTCTTGAATATCATAGATGTCGCTCGTAATGTTTATGGGCTTAAGAGATACTTAACTCATTATTTTAAACACATGATACGGTTTACATATTATATCGTGTTGACGACCTCCGTGGCCGGGTGGTTCGCGCGCCGGTTTCGGGGTGTCGGCGTCTCTGAGGGCCCGGGTTCGATCCCCGGTTGGGTCAATGTGGAGAATTGATATCTGTGTTGTGTCGGGTCTGGGTGTGGTGTTACTTTCGTTGTCTCGGATGCTCCATAATGCGGGGCCTTTGACTGCTCATCTTGGAGTCTGAGCGGTGTGTGTGATGTGTAATATTTATTTAATTTTAAATAATGTATTGCCGCGGTTATAATTTTAGGTGATAACGTGTTCATAGTGCTTAGGTTATATTAGGAACTGGTTGTCATAAATAAGATTTTAGGCGTTTGTTACAACAATACAAATACTTCAAGGTAAAAAGTTTGTAATGTCTTATCTCGTGTCTGGCTCTCTCGTGACTCTTAAGAAATTTTGGGTATTTTAAGTGTAATTCCATTGGGGTAAATATTGTCCGCTTAGTTGCATATGTCTGGCTACGTGTATGTCTGGCGAAGTGTATGTGTGGCGACGTGTATGTCTGGCAACGTATGTCTGGCGATGTGTATGTCTAGCGACGTGCATGTCTGGCGACGTGTATGTCTGGCGACGTGTATGTCTGGCGACGTGTATGTCTGGCGACGTGTATGTCTGGCTACGTGTATGTCTGGCGACGTGTATGTGTGGCGACGTGTATGTGTGGCGACGTGTATGTCTGGCGACGTGTATGTCTGGCGACGTGTATGTCTGGCGACGCGTGTGTCTGGTGACGTGTGTGTCTGGTGACGTGTGTGTCTGGCGGCGTGCGTGTCTGGCGACGTGTTTTGTCTAGCGACGTGTATGCCTGGCTACGTGTATGTGTGGCGACGTGTATGTCGGGAAGATCGTGGAATTTTGTTTCGATTCCTGTAATGGTAACAGACTTAAGAACGGGGGGGCGACGATTTTGCTATTGTTAATTAAATTTTAAGATACCCGGGGGCGACGATTATGTTATTCGGGAATGAGCAATTTGCAATACATAGTCTAATAACATAGCTAACTACATAATTCAATTGAACTTATTCTACTAAGTTAATCAATTTAAATAAATATGATTTATATGTACGTATTGTTTAAAATAAACTGTACTTCTTTTAGGGTTCCATACCGTATTGTTGGTTCTTCAGTTTGTCTGTTCATCCGTTCATGTCTGATCGTCCGTCTGTCTGTTCGTCTTTCTAAGTTTAATTAAATTATAATGGCGTGAGTGACGTTACGAGGTTAAATAAGGTTTTAAAAGAAGGGGTCTTGTGATTCGAATCCACATGGAATAATTCTAATAATTTAATTAACGTGATAATATTCATAAAGAGTGTGCTTCAATCCCTATAAGAAATGATTTTAAAGATGTATTAAAGGAAATCAGTCAAAGGATATTATTTTTGATGAAAGGTATGGTTTGATTCCTACCCGGTAGTGGAATGTATCTTTTGACACAAATTGATTTAACCAAATATACGGTTATCGATTGTGATGGTGTTTAGCTTTGTAGTCAGAAAAATATATATATATCTAAGGATTTATTTGTTGTTATGTTAGGACGACCAGAAGGTTTTGTTCTTATGATTGACATCCTCTTCCAAGCTTTTGCATAATGGCCCAATTATGAATTTATTCACAATTGTCAGATAGACTATACTATAGAATTTAAATTTCAAAACCGATTAAATGTTTAGCATTAACATAGTTTTCTAATATTTGACTGTGTATTTCCTAATATACTGACTGCTATTATCAAATAAAGGCTGTTAAACTCTAATTTATACAAATCCTAAATCGAGTAGTTTGAATAAAGGTGTCTTTATTACTGTTACATACATTCTTACTTCGATAGTGTTGTTGGCTATAATTTATCTCGATTATCTTTTGAAAGTTTAATATTTATAGAAAAAAAAAAAGGTCAACTATCTATCATTCTTCGTTACCGGTAAATAATACCTTACTGTACTATATCGCACATTACTCCAAGAGCGATAAGACTGCAATGACTGGGGGCAATCACAACCACTAACAGAACATGTGCAATATCGTGCATTACTTGACAAGCTTTGTGGGCCAATAATTGAAGCCAACCACATTTATCAAGCAGGATAATCATATAAGTACTATATTGCACATTACTCCAAGAGCGATAAGACTGCAATGACTGGGGGCAATCACAACCACTAACAGAACATGTGCAATATCGTGCTCTATTTAACTTATTATATCAAAGTGTGCCGACCATACTTATATCTCTTGAACCTAATCCATAATGGGTTTTGTTAATATTATTCTAGAATATTATTGGCACCTTAAGATACCTATATTCTTGTAACACAAACCATTACAGTTAGTTCGTATCGACTTAATTCGACACAATTAAAAATGACTTTCAAACGTATCTACAAAACACATCGTATGAATCTTATTTATGAGAGAATAATTGAATGAATTGAAAGTAAGGTGAAATTGATAAATGATGAATGAAAGAAATTCTTGAATGGCAAATTGATGAATGGAAATGAAAGAAAAGTGTTACTTACTTGTGACTTATTTATTGACTTATGACGATCTAAGAAAAGGAACACAACTATGTAATGGTTATAATGTTCATAATTCATAATCAGTCGGTATGTTTCCGAATACAGTCATTTTATAAATAAAGTAATTATATCTAGTAAATTTTATACTTAGCGAAGGGAAATCCTGAATAATTTTGCACTTAACTAAGAATATTACTTGCAAGGCGACCTTTCACATCATCTAAACTATAAAAGCATTAAATATTGTAAACAACCTTGAAAGATTAACGAATTCAGTTTAGTCGTCGGTTATTTAAGTACTACAATACTTAAAATAAGATTTGAGAGGTGGTGTTTCGTAGTCTAGTATTTATAATTTTAACATGCATCTTACTGGTTTTAATTAGATGCTGTGGGTTAAAAATAAATTAGGACGAGTAATCATTGAAGGATAGTCGTAGATGTATTAAAATTATAATAAGTGACCATTCTTGTGTTAACAACAGATTATTGATTAGAGCTAGGTAAATCGAATAGTACAAATTATTGACAAATTATCGAAATTCTAATTAAATGGAATCATTTATAGTAAATATACTTAACAGGGGAATCGTATCTATGTTGATCGTTGGTTACACTTGCTTCTAATATAATCTATTTTCTTAGAAAACTATGAAAGTTAATAAATATGTAATGAAATAACTGTAAATGCGATAACATTCTTATAAGTTAGTAAATATATGGTTATCGATTGTGATAAACCTTATATCTAATCATGTATTTTTATTAGTGTTAGGATGGCTAGAAGGGGTTGTATGCCAGTATGATATTCCTTCATAATTTTGGGACTAGTAGAGTAACTATGAGCAACATTAATATTAATTTACTTTTGCTTTGGAAATAAATATTATTTTCAATCGAGGCTGAAGTAAATAATAAAAAAAAATAAAAAAAACTCTCATTCATGTATTTTAATAATAATATTTGGATATAATAATTTTCTTAAACATATTATGTAATGTTACAATCAAATAAAACCATTAACTCTGTTCTATACGCCCTCTAAATCGAGTAAATGTTGAATAAAGGTATTTCGGTGTGTCATACATTCTGACTTCGATAGTGTTGTTGGATATATTTTATCTTGATGTTCCTTTGAGTTTTTTTTATTCGTAGCATTGATAAGAAATTCAAGTGTCATTCTCTTCTGTTACTATCAAATAATACTTTACTTGTACTATATCGCACATTACTCCAAGAGCGACAAGACTGCGATGACTGGGGGACATTCACAAACACTAACAGAACATGTGCGATATCGTGCATTACTTGACAAGCTTTATGGGCCATTAATAGAAGCCAACCACATTTATCAAGCAGGATAATCATATAAGTACTATATTGCACATTACTCCAAGAGCGATAAGACTGCAATGACTGGGGGCAATCACAAACACTAACAGAACATGTGCAATATCGTGCTTTATTTAACTTGTTATATCAAGTAGTAACAAGCAAAATTATATTTTTGAACAAAATCCATATTAATCTTTCGTTTAATTTATTTTAGAACATTGTTGGCGCCCTAAGATATCTATATTCTTTTAAAATAGATCTACGATTAATATTAAAATTGCGGAGGTTCCTTCTGTTGGATCTAAATAAATTATAACTCCGATAAACTTCGTTATAATTTAGGGGGCGATTGTAACGGTTCACACCGCACTATACACGTATATAATAAATATGTCACCATTAATTTAAATAAATAAAAAGAAAACAAATTTGAAAAGGCAAGGTTTACCTTAGGTTTGGGAACGACTGAACATTCAGTAATAAAGTAACACTCCATCTATCGACCATGATATACTAATCGCACAATTAAGACTGATAAGTAGATATTCTAAAGGGTAATCTCTAACTACTTCCAGTAATTGATACTAGATGGCGCTACGTCTGACAAAGAAATATAGGAAATCCTTAGAAAATAATTTTGAGTTCTTAAAAGGAAAAACATGCAAAACTAACAACTACCTTAATAAATAAATAATATACTAAATATCTTGACATTAATATCAAAATATTTCGTGGCGGAATTCATGACAGTTCGGGGATTGGCGCCAAAACGAAATCTTATAAACTCGTTCGTGATTGGTGGATACTTGTGATCGGTAATAAAAGCCGGCGGGAAGGGATTCTGGGGGGGAGAGGTATAAAAGGGAACGTGAGATCGGGGTAGGGGCTTTTTTGGTGAGAGCACATCAACGGAGACGGAACTCGGGACGTCGTGGGCTGCAGAAGGGCTGAGGATAGGCAGAGGATCTTTGGCAAGTTTTGGGTCCAGGGCTTCCGCTTTGGACCACAAGTAAGTGCCATTAGGGAACGTAGGCTTATTAAAAGTAGGGAGGTAGGATTAGGCGAATGTTTCTTTGTGCAATTTGTGTGTTTTATCATTAATTACTTTATAATTATGCCTTTCAGATGTTTTATATTATACTATGTATTTATATACTTAACATACTACTCAAATAACACATAACTAACCTGACATAAGAAAATAACCACTTTGAATTGATCTAGTCAGTTTCATAATTCTAATTTTCAATTTAAATTTCTAGCGGTCCAGATTGGAATGAGAATTCTTATGTGTTCACTTTTCTTATTTGGACTCTTTTGAGTCTGTTCATACTAAATTTTATTACTAGGTTTTCATAGTTTTCAAAGAAGTCACAGTATTGGGTTGTTCCGATCATTCGTTAATATCGCAGGTGTTGTCCGTCATTTGAATGTATGGTTCGGTGAGATATCAGTATCAATGATCCCTATCTCATGCTGGGTCAGGATGGTGATCACCGCCAGTATCGGAAGCGTGTGAGATAGCTCGGTTGATTACCTGTGCCATCAGCTCGGTGGACGGCAAATAAGCCTGTTATATTGACGAATAATTGTGGGACTTCGCTTTATTGTCCTTCTGATGTGGTATCTAATGTTCCTGGATGTGTGTTCCATTTTGGTGAGGTCCTGTTCGATATGGTGTTAGTTCTCGCCTTATCCCGTACTGGAGTGGTCCAAAGGGCGCATTCCCCTTGGTACCGGTGGACGACAATTGATGCTATGTCGAACTATGTTCCATTGTCTTTATGGAGGACATCAGTCTGGGTATATTAACGAACCACATAGGGTTTTCTTTTGCTCTTTTGCAGAGCAATTCTTTTGTTTGGTGGAGGTGTAGTTTTATTTTCTGGTTAGAAAGGTATTCCTTACTGGACCGCTTAGAGTTAATAATGGTTAAGGGGCCGTGTGGTGGGCCCTGGGCTTTGAGCGTGGTTGGGGCTCGAAAGCACTTTAAACATTAGCAATGCTGTATTTATTTTCTTATTTTTTATACATATTCCCTGGCATTGCTGGTGTTTACTTACCTTATATCCTTTCCTAACCTATATACTGATTTTATAATTTTCTTTTAATATTTTAAGCCTTATTTTATAAACAGTTTCTTATATTTTATTTACTTACCAAAGAGAAAACTTTTACTTTTATTATTTTATGCATGACAATGTTTTATCATCTTTTAGGTTTGTTTAATTTATTAGTTTAAAATCTAGTCTTTTACATGCCCTCAATAACATATACTCTAACCACTCACAATCACCTTCATACAAAGAATCTAAGGTTGCTACAAATACAATACACAACGAGGAGTCCTGCCACTAGACGATCACAACATTATAATGATGGCCAATATTTTGTTAATATTTATTCTATTAAAGTTTTATTTTAAATAATTCTTTTAAATATAATTAACTATTTATAATTATATGGGGGTGTAAGGGGGGGAAACGTTAGACTGCAAATGCAGCTTAACTCCAACGGCTTAACTCGAGATAATAATTTTTTTTTTGGTCACCCATCCCGTGACCTAATCTTGCGAAAGTTGCTTAACGACAACGACCGCGGGCCGCGGCGCTTATTCACTACGCCACCGAGCTACACATTTAGTACATGCATTTAGTTATAGATAATACTAATATTATGAAGAGAGAAAATTTATCGTTTATTAGTTTGTTTACATTCAAGCTCCGAAACTACAGGCTAAAATTTATGCAGGCGAAGTCGTGAGAAAATAGCTAGTTATTGATCAATCTTATCAAGATACTACTAAATTTTCGATCAATAAAGAGTTCTGAATGGTTATAGTAAGTTTTCGTATCTAATAATATAATTGTCTCAAAATATGTTTTCCTCACCTCCATATTTGATGTTCTCTAACTCTTCAGTCAATATTCTTAACTCTGGATTTGATAAATCACCAAGCTGTAACAAAAATATTTATAATTCATTGTTGATTTAACTTAATTTTAAGAAACTTGTTTTCAAAAAGAAGGTACATACATATATACCATGCATTGTCAATAAGACGAATTTAACGAATTTTTAGATAATATGTTTCATATCTGACGGAAGAAGCTCCACGTTTCTTTGGTAGCGCAACGCCAAAACTGTTATATGAAGTCCTTACATGTGAAATTGGTGTTTGGTATGGGAGGAATAAAAAGTTGAATATTTTTAATATAATATATTTATTTAATCAAAGTATAAACCATTGTTATCTATGCACTTTTGCCATCTTATAGGTAGTTCATTGATTCCTTTACTAAAAAAACCATTCAGAAGGGATCAATAAAATCTTTGAAGGCTATTTGCACTGCCCCATTGGAGTAGAAAATTTTCCCTTGCAAGAAGTCATCCAAATTTCGAAAAAAATGGTAATCTGTTGGAGCAAGGTCCGGGGATCATTAACCCTTCGAGCCGTTCCGCAGCACTGTAAATAAATTGTAAATAACACGATATTTCAGTTAGTTATGCATTTTTTATACTGAGTGACGTAAATAGGATAAACAGAAGAAAAAAAAATAAATACCGCCTAACGAAACACAAATACATGTGTAAATGGCTGTATAAATTTGAATTTGGAATTCCCAACCAAGGAGGAGAAATTTGTGATTAAAGTGGCCAGTACGACAAAACGCCAATTTCATATGTAACGACCTAATATTATATACTTGGCGGATATTGTGAGGCTTGGTTCTTTTGTTATTTATTCTACAGATTACAGGGAAAACTTTTGTCTATGTATATTTAAAAAAAAAAAATATTTGCACGCAATCCTTTTTTTGCAAGGGTTATCCTACCTTTTTGGAATCAATCATAAAACATGTTTTAATACTTTTACTGTCAGCTCTAGAAGCACAATATAATAATGCATATCACAATATAATAAAGGTGTCGTAAACACGTACCTTTGAGATTACAAATAACATCCGAAGGCTTAAAAGCGAAGCAACTCGCTTAAATGATAAACTAATTCCACAGATTCTTGGCATAGACTTGCCTCACTGAAAATTTTGAATATAGATATTTTCGTCTATGAATTCAATTATGAACACTACCATAGTATTACAATTCAATAATTTTGCTTTGTATTACATTTACCTTATCAAATTATACGAAATTTATATTCAGCCTTCGGTCTCAATTTTAAATTCCAGCAAACTAAGCTTATGGTGATTTAATCTTTCTCCAAAAAATTTAATTAAATAATGTGGCTAATAATATCAATAAATAATTTTATTTTTTAGGGTAAGATTTTCTTATTACGACATCTTTACACTTATCATCTTACAATTTGGCTTCATCTTACAATCTTAGTTGGCTCAGCAGACGCTTACTCTCGAATTATAGACAATTTTGTATTTTTGACGATATAATTTCGATTGTATTTTTATCGATGCTATATCTACCTCGTATCAGTTCCAGCACAGACTCGTAACAGTGACAGAAAAATGCTTTCATACATTCTCTATAAACGTATCTAATCTAAACCCGTCAATGCCTATGCCGACAGTGATATTAAGAGTGCTATCCAATACACTGACGGGTGAATATGTTTTCAATAGAGAATGTATGAAAGAATAATTAACCACTGATTTAGTTCAGGGCCAGAACTGGTATGTCATCGATGGTTTAATCAAGCGTGAGCCGTAAGGAGGTCTGGCTCATAGGCAGCGGTGACATTGAAAATAATCACTCATTAAATTAAATTCAAACAAAACATAAACAAATCCAGAGGTAGACTGGCAGGAAATTAATTGCCACTATCGAAATTGTTTTCGTCGACCCCAAAAGTGACTCGCGATATAGTTTACGTTCATTTAGCAGTTCGTAATTTGAACTAATAGCTTTGCCGGCTAATCCAATGGAACGCAGAAAATTCCAATTTCCTTAATTAAGCGCGCTCAGTTCGGCGGAATAAGGCAAGGTGCGATGAAAAGGTGTGGCTCTTATAACTTGCCTATAACATCAATTACATGAAAGCGCAACACCAATTTGAAAAAAAAATGCAAATCACGCTAATCCACTCCTTCATGTAAACAACCATAGGCACTCTCCACTTCGCTTCAAAGTATACCATTGTAAATTTATAGCGCTTGAAATGTACTACTAATGGGTTAACTTACAAATAATAATGACTCAGTGTAAGTTGATCAATAGGACACTTATAAAAATAAATCTATGTCATATTTAGACATATATCAAATAAATTATTAATGTTTGGAAATAAGTTCGTAGCCCTTTTTGTTTTCTTTTATTTTAAAACAGTTTTCGCTATAAGACAAAATATATTTTTTTATTGCTGGTGCACTGGCAAATGCTTGAATGGTGACACGGTTAACAAGGACCTCTATAAAGTTCAGTAACACCGCATAAAAGAGGCTATTCTAGTGAAAAGATCCCATTAACGAGGCCATACTGTACTCCTTCACGACGATACCAAATCCCATATTGCACAAGTCGTCAACGCTGGATTTCAAGAGCTCGAAGGGTTAAGTCCTTCAGCATTTGCTATATCTTCAGATCTTTCATTATCATTAATCATCGCATCAATTCATATCCCCACTACTGGTGTACAGGTTTTTCCTATGGCTGGAATCGAATCGCGTTGACTAGAAAGAATGGGCAATAACCCACTACGTGGGCTCAGTGTGCATTAGTCCCTGCTGTTAACTCCTATAGAATAGCGTCTTCTCCATTCCCTATCAAACCATATGAGGGGCATAACCTTCAAAAACGAAGAGAACCTTAAATCTAACTCAATAATTATTTTTTATACCAGACTACGTGATTTCTGGCTGAATAGAATCAATAATTTGGTCGTGAGGTGAGAGGAGATCTTATGAGTTACTTGTTATTGTAATTGATTTTTTATTTAAATAAAAGTCATTGATAAGAATGCTACAAACTACTCCAACAATTGTCTGTAGGTATATTATGCTCACAATAACGACTAATAAGGTTTGCTATCTGGAAAATATTTCTACACAAAGACAACATTTTACCTGCAAAAGTAGAGATATAGAAACAATCCCCTGTGCTTTGTGCAACGCTTCAGAGAAGTTTGAATAAAGTTGTGAATTAAATCCGAATATTTGTATCTGAAACAAAAACAATTTGTTGAAATAATCATAATAAATTTTAAACACAATTTCTGGAAACTTAAATATTATTCTCGTACCATATAGAATTATTCAAAACTTTATTTGACGATTTATCATTACGGGAATCTATTACAACAGTTTTAATAATGAATTACTAAAATGACAATCATTTATTATTTTAAGCATTTTTCACTAAGGATTATAATTATTAAATAAAAACAGCAATCAATTACATAATAATTTCAATAGTAACAACATAGAAAATAACTGAGTTCAGCTTACAAACTTATGAAGACACTTAATTTACATGGCATTTTATCTTAAAATAGGGCAGAAGACCAGATTTTGACCAAGTTAGGAAGTAGAGAACTTTGATACATCGGAGTTGGCAACGGTATAAGAATTAATATCTCATATACCAGTAACTAATATATTTACCTTTATACTCGTATATATTATGTTAAATCGCCTTAACGTCCCAAAAGGGGACTAGGGTTTAAAACCAAGTCATCTGCTCTAACTAGTAACAAAAAATGCATTGTTAATATTATATATGTTCTTAAAAAGCGTTACGCGTAAAAATAAATCTGCTGTTTTGGTAACGGTGGCTTCGTAGGAATTTGTCACACAAATAAACGGGATACATGGTTGAGTTGTTCGCAGTCGTTGCCGGGATTACATCAGGGATTCGGGCGTCTCAGGGAGACGGCTGAGCAGTGCGTGAAAACATCTGTTACGCTCCCTTTACACACCTACCGTATCTTTGATAACGTATTAATGCATTTAACACGGTATCTGTAAAGGGTCCTAAAAGTCATGAAAACAAATATATATGCGCTCAAACCGTTTAAAATAGTTTATTCAATCAATTTTTACAATAGAAAAACAAACATTTAACAGCTCTTCAGGTAATTGATAAAAAATTGATTTTTTTATGCTTGGTTTTGTGTCTTAATCTATTCATAGTAGAATATTAACTAATATATTTGATCAATTTTCAAATTCTATGAATACATGAATACATTTAAATCAATAGATCTGAGAAGTTATCAATATTGATTAAAAAATTGACCATTGTACTTAAGATCTTTAGGTATCCATAGCATCCATTTGCAATGTATAGCGTCATGAAATGAATACATTGAGAGTTTTCTACAATTAAATTAATTAACTACTAATAATGTTTAGTTCTCTTGGTGTTTATTGAATAATTAATTTAATACTATTCGGTTACGTGTACCATTGAGAAGTAAGCTAATAATAGCCTTCACTATTCATGAGTACCTACGTGCAATCAATTAGCGGAACAAGTATACCAAGACGTGTGCATACACTATAGTAATTGAATTATAGCGACCGTAAGTGAGCGAAGATTAGATGACCTGTAGAGTTACCATATATCAGTATTTCTCCTGAGATTTCTTCGTCTTTAGTCTCTTAACAGGACTGAGGACTTATTTTGCTAAAACAAAAGCTTTTTATTTTTAATAAATATACACCATTCTTAAAGCTTTAGATATTTTATAATAACAATAAATTCTTTTATATATGTGATTTTTAAATAAAAAATATTTAAGTAGGAAATTTATTTTAATAATATGGAAATCAATTAAAACATCAACTTTGGATATACTCACACCAATTAATTAATTATTTACATAGAAAAGTATACCAACTTAATCAACTTTGACAACATCTCAGATTTTTTCAATGGCAACCCAGCCTTTCCTCGGGACTTAATATTTTTCAAATAGTAACCTATCGACAGGGAGAGACGAACAGTGGAGAGATTATTCACACTTGCGAAGCACATGTAACCCGAATACTTTAAAAAAAACTAGTATTTTATATATGAAATGAAATTGTTAGTGGATATTTTACAAATAATTTTACATCCATTATTTTAATCATAAATTAGCAAGATTACGTTACTTTTGCAAATAGTTTTATCAATAATTTTGCACCCATATTTTAGTCATAAATTAATAAGATTGTATACATAGCTCTTTGTATAAAGATTTATAACTCAATCAATACATTTATGGTAAAGATTCGGTTAATTTTGGTTTACATTGCGTTTCTTAATTAAGTTACATGACGGTTTTGTTAACTATTAACGAGTGCGTCAGCAAGCAATTACTGTAACCCGTCGGATATGTTTGCGAGACGCAACTGAACTGTGCTGACTACACGTGTCTACGTCATGCATATACCTAAGTAATTACTCTTTCAGTTACAATAACTTAACTTTATTATACTGTATAATTATGTGTGACAACATTTGAGAATCGTCATATAATATTTATTTTATTTAGATTGGTTATCATTGTTCAGATTTGACTACTCTCGAATATTTATCTGTTTCAATTTAAATTAATTTAAAATGTGGAAGAATTTAGATATCAAATTATATTAAAAAACAAACAAAGTTATGACTTTATATTATCCGTAGATGTTACCTAAAGTGCTATTCAGTTAAAAACAGAGGTTCAATGGAGTTAATCGAAGCCTATTTCAAAGGGTACATCATAAGGTTCTATTACATTACAAGGTGTTTAACGCTGCGTCCGAAGCTGTATTTTTAATAAAATGTCAAAGGTAAACTTTGTTACAGCAATAGCAATTAAAATTGCACAAAAACAGATTCAATTTCATAGCCATGTTCCGGATCTTAAATAATTATTTTTATCATTTGTTTCCTGTGAGTTAAACAGTGTATTTTACAGTCCTACCCATCTGAAAAATCTTCTTAATCCGAATTTTTTCTTGTTCAAGGCTCTCAGGGGCAATCTTCTTATCACATAAAACATTTATGAAAACTGTATTCATGTAACAACGAACAGATAACTAACATATTTCTTTATGATATCGCATTCTAAATTAGATATCTAAAATTTGTTTTTTAATATCTATATAAGGAAATAATGTTTTATAGTACTGATACAATACTATAATTTCTCAACACACATTGAAATATAATATTTTATGTATACATCTATACTAATATTATGAAGAGGAAAGATTTGATTGTTTGTTTGTTCGCAACGTATAGGCTCCGAAACTTCTGGACCGATTTTAAAAATTCTTTCACCTACGGGAAACTCATATACGGTAAACATATTTTATCTAGAAAAGCAGGAAATAAAAGAATGAAAATGGGAGTGAAAGTTTGTAACGATTATTTAATATTCAATTGGTGATTGTAATTATATCCGTGTCATGATATGAATCGCTATCCAAATAAACAGTTCCTTGGTGACCACGCGGGCGAAGCCGCTGGGGGAAAAATAGTATTATATATATGAATGAACAAGTTAATTTTCTAATCGAGGTATTTTGCTACTATTATTATTATAAGTGAGTATCAGTTAGTTCGATACCTATTTATTTATTTTGTCAATGTATTTAACACCTTTTATACCTTGATATATATGTATATATTTAAGCAGACGTGCAATAAAACAAATGTAATGTAGGGAACTATAGGTATTGTATGTTTTTCTTAGATTTTCTGTACATGTAATTTTGTATAACTGTTTGTTCCTTTATAAATAAAAATAAATAAAAGAAAAATTTATTTATGTCACATCTACTATTACAATTATAAGGATTATACTTTTGTCTATGAATGGAATTATTATCAGCATCGAGATTTTTTATAAATACATTATATTGAGCTTAGTTACACTATACAAATATTAAGTCTTGACCTATGAAATTGCCGTTTTTCATTAAATAAATGATGCATTTCTCGTCACAAGTAACAATGCGGTTCAGAATTCCTTCATTTATTTTTTCATAATTGTGTTCGTGGGGTACCCATTTGTCAAACTTTTTAACCTTGCCAATTTCATGCAAATGGACCAATATTGTTTTGATGCTAACATCGAAAGCTACAGCTAATTCAGCTATATATTGAGTTTCATCAGCTTTTACAATCACCTTTAATTTGTCATTGTCGACCAAAGTTTTTGGACTACCACGGGGTTCCCTTTTCAGGTCAAAATTCCCAGAATGGAAGCGGGCAAACCAATAACCGGTGGTGCGTTCTTTTGTAGTGTTCGCTGCGTTAATGTCGTTGATTATGCGTGCCGCTTGTGCCGCTTTGCTGTCACAATGGTACTCATACTCCAAAATTACTTAATTTTTAACTTATCCATGACCACGAAAAACGTTCGAATGCATTGACAACAAAACATTAACTATTAAACAAAAGACGATTTAAGAAAAAAGAATAAAACCTATTACCTGTTTAAAATTATGCCTCGAACACTATTCTAGAAATGTCCAACTGTTAAACTTGTTTTTGTTAGCACTTCTTTGAACTTATATACCACTCATAAATTATAAACTAGGATGCATGCATTTTAAATATATGAATCTTTGAATATTTTTCTTTGTTTTATTAGCTTTTCTCGTACGATTTGTAGTTGATTACGTTAATTCTGTTAAAGATAACATGATATATAAATCTGAATGAAAACTTAAAATGGTAAAGGGTAAATTTTAAAATGGTAAATTTTAAACTCACCTCGGCAGGAAAAGAATATCCGTTGATTGCATGCTCGGATCCGAATTGATCGTGAAGGCCGTAGTGTATGTGAATCTCGTGGAATTGATATTTATAAGACAGGGGGCCACCGGTGATGTTGATGTGGTGTCTTGTCTCGTTTTCCACAGTAAAGATGACTGAGTGACCTGTGTTACTTATTAAGCCATTTATCTGAAAGACAATGATTAAAGTTAGACATGTAAAAGAGATATATCTTCAGTGATAACCGACGAATCAAGATTATTTTTAATATACTATAAAGTTATATTCATTGATAAGAGAAAATCATAGAGTTTAGTAAGGTCTATGTCCAAAACATCATAAAATGTTTACCATCTTTAAATAGTACTGTGTTCACTACGAAATCAATCACCACATCGATTTGTACAAAATCAAGTAATTGGATATATATAAATGAATATATCGTTATTTTCGTTTTTCTAAAATAAGTGATTAAAAAACCAATTCTTAAGAAAGTATAAACACCAAATTTCACAAACTTTCATTTGGTTTTGTACGAATAAATAAAAACCAAATAAGTAGTAATTATAAATGGACATACGACATCATCACATTTCTGATGGATTTGGCAAAATCAAAATATGACTTTAAAAATTTTCTTCGATAGAAAAAAAATATTTCTAAAACTATTACATACATATATTATATCTAAAATTATCAACACTCCATTTCTTCTCATAATCATACTCTTTTTAAAATTAATACATTTTATAACTTTGTAGCCCACTGACGGTTTTACGGAGCTCATTTACTTTTGTAAATAAAGCAATATATTAAAATATTTTTATTTTAATATATTACTTTATTGTTTTATAAAAAAAAAATACTGGAATACTCACTCTATGTTTATCTATGTGCAAAAACCGTAGGTTGGGGTCGAAGAGCAGTTTCTCCGGTTCTAGGTTTACCGGTGACTGCCGACGTCCTTTGTTGCATAAGGACCATTCTGGATTTATAAGTCCCCAGAACGCTGGACCTGCCACAAAATCATTAAATAAATATTTAACAACATCACATACATTGCTTAGATTCCAAGATGAGTAGCTAAAGCCCCCGTATTATGGAGTATCTGAGACAACGAAGGTACCACAACACCCAAACCCGAGTCAATATAGAAAAGTTCATTTTCTACATTGACCCGACCGGGAATCGAACCCGGGACCTCAGAGATGGCGACACCTTGAAACCGGCATGCGAACCACTCGGCTACGGAGGTCAATAAATATTAATTTGAATAAATATTAATTCATTTTCTCACCCACCTTCATATTTAGCTAAGAGGGACAATTACATTTCAGGCTATATAATTGATATATGTAATAAAATAAGAAAAATGTAATATACACACCATAGTGACGTCATTAAGAGAATAGAGATCATGCCTGGGTAAAAAAAGAAGTTCAATTTATTCATTCAAAAAGAGCTAAGCTAAGCTAAGTTAAAGATGAGGAGTGGGGGTTCGCTACGTCACAGCTTTGTAGTATACGCACAAGAGAGTGATGTCATATGATATTTTAACTCAATGCATCAACATAATTCATTGATTACGCAAAAAATGGTGTTTATTAATCTTCAATAATTTACCTGACGGACAGAAAAAAATCTTGTCATCACCCTATTCATAATTATCATAGGTCAACAATTTTTTTCTATTAACTTTCCTAGCACAGTGTTGCCGTAACAAAATAAATATACATTACATAAAGTAAAATTTCGAAAATAAAAATGTATTAGTGTACCTCCCCTATATGTAAAGTGGGATGATATGTTTTTATTTCGTATTCCCTAAAGTGTGGAAGTAGTTGCACAAGTCTTTCAAAAGTTTGTTGTTTTCTATGCAGTTGATAGAAAACAAAAAATGTGACTTTACTTTTTTTAATTGATAATGGTACGGAACCCGTAGTACGCAAGTCCGTAATTTAATTTATTTAACTTATATAATCCACACACACTGAAGATAATTTCTATTCGTGAATGTTAAATCAAACATTGAAATGGCACACGCGGCCAACGACATTAATTTATGCTAACTTTAAATACAAAAGTTACATGAAGCATCCAGAACATAGAGAGGATTATGCACGAGCGTGTTATAGACGCCGCTGCACATGTTCATTATATCAAATGAAACAGAAATTCCTGTTAATTTGTCGCTATGAAAATGGCCTTTAGTGGAGCGAAAATGCATTCTGAAAGTTTCACTAATAAAGTGTCTATACAAATTTCACCGATCAAAGTCCTTTAATGATCGCATGCATATACAGAGTTCTTAATATCAAGCTATAACCATCGATTATAGCGGTTAGGCAAATTTGTTATAATACCGGTCAAATTGAACAAATGTTTTAATCGCTTTTTTATATTAGTTATACATAGCTGTTTCTTCACAAGGATTTCACCCGCATAAATATAGTTTTTGTCACCCACGTATGATGCTTCTCGTAGGTGAAGGAATTTTTAAAATCATCCTGTAGTTCCGGAGCTTATTCGGTGCTAACGGAAAAACAAAATCAATCTATTCTTTTTTCATAATATTAAATTATAGCCTATGTCACCTGCGTGTGAAGTAGTTTCTCGAATGTGAAAGAATTTTTAAACTCGGTCTTATTCGATGCTAACTAACATACAAATAAAAAAATACAAACAAAAGTGTTGTCGTTTTAATATTACTAATAAGTTGCGGAATATAAAGGGTGTTATAAAAACTATAAAAAACTGGCCAAATGCGAGTCGGACTCGTGCACGAAGTGTTCCGTACCGAAAACGAGCAAAAAAAATCACGTTTTTTGTATGAGAGCCCAGTTAGGTCCTTACATATGAAATTGGCGTTTTGTCGTACTGGCCACTTTAATTTCAAATTTCTCCTCCTTGGATGGGAATTCCAAATTCAAATTTATATGGCCATTTACACATGCATTTGTGTTTCGTTAGGCGGCATTTATTTATTTTTTTCTTCTGTTTGTCCTATTTACGTCATCCCAGTGTAAAAAATGGAAAACTTGAAATATCGTGTTACGGGTGGTAGTACGAATACGAGTTCCACCGTGGTAACAGTGCTTCGGAAACGGCTCGAAGCGTAAACGATGTGTATGTCGGTCGTGTCGCAAAAGAAAACACAGTGCGTTTTTGGTTCCAACGTTTTCGTTTTGGAAATTTCGACCTGCAGAACAAGCCCCGTGGACGGCCGGAGACCCAAGTATAATGAAGAATTGAAGGCTTATTGTGGATGCGGAAACATCGCAAACCACGTCCGAGTTAGCTTCAGGCTGCGGTGTAAGTGATAAAACTGTTTTAATCCACATGAAGCAAATTGGAAAGATTAAAAAGCTTGAAAGTTGGGTAACTCACGAATTGAGTGAAGCAAACCGAATAGGCGCTTCGACAGCTGCGTTACATTACTTAACCGGCACAATCATGAAGGGTTTTTAAATCGAATAATTATCTGTGATGAAAACTGGATTCTCTACGTTAATCGGAAGTGCTCATCGCAATGGTTGGACCCTGGCAAGCCAGCCAAATCCTGTCCCAAGCAAAAATAGACCCCAAAAAAGTTACATACTTGTAAGCGTTTGGTGGACTGGTGCCGGTGTCGTTTATTACAGTTTTCTCAAATCTGACCAGACGATAACGGCAGACGTCTATTGTCAGCAATTGCAAACTATGCTGGAAAAACTAGCTGTTAAACAACCGAGGCTGGTTAATCGCTCTACGCCACTGCTACTTCACGACAACGCTAGAGCACACACTGCACAACAAACGGTTACCAATTTAGAAGAGCTTCAATTGGAATGTCTAAGGCATCCACCGTACTCCCCGGACTTTGCTCCAACAGATTACCATTTTTTTCGAAATTTGGATAACTTCTTGCAAGGGAAAAATTCAATTCCGATGGGGCAGTCCAAATCGCCTTCAAAGATTTTATTGATTCCCGTCCGAATGGTTTTTTTTAGTAAGGGGATCAATGAACTACCTATGAGCTGGCAAAAGTGCAAAGATAACAATTGTTATACTTTGATTAAATAAATATATTATATTAAAAAATATTCGACTTTTTGTTCCTCCCATACCAAACACCAGTTTCATATGTAAGGATCTAATATTTATTTGCAGGCTGCTGACAGACAGACCGACGGACAGCGAAGTCTTAGTTATAGGTTTATCCTTTGGGTACGGAACCCTTAATAGGTTTGCAACAAAAACACACGTGACGTTAGTGTTAGAAATCACATACATTTCGATTTTATTTAAGAATGTTAAAATAGAACTTTTTGTTTGTCATTCCGATTAAATTTGATAGATTCGTAATTTGATTACGTTTTCTATCAATTAGGTAATAATAAAAAGATAAATATCTATATTTTCGAGGCAATATGCTATAAAACTTAATTTTATATTAATTTCTCTCATCGCATGACTTGCAAATATCTAAATCATAGATAAGAGAGCCACCGCATCCCCCAACAGATCGTACAATCGTCGGATTAGCCACGTTGGTTTTCCCGAGGCATTTCAATATACGAGAGCGCACAAAAGTAGCCAAAGTGCTTTGGATCGTGCTCACGGTTTTATTATTTATGACCTTGAAAATTGCACGAGAAAGCCGACACAGCCGTTGTGGTTACGCCCACTTTATGGGCACGCGTTAAGCGAACTTTCCATTAATGCAAAGCACCTTTTTTGCTTTTGGCACCGACGCTCTTAGCCTTTACGTGCAAAAAAATTGGGCAGAATTGTCTCTGAATTATAATTTTTATTCACGACGACCACGGTAGTGCAATTTGAACGAGGATATTACCCTTGTATAAATTAAACGCTAACGATCTGCTTTTACAGACTCTTTTTAAAATGTAAACATTAAAATTAATTTATTTTATTTGGTTAATAAAAATAGAACACCACTGAGTGAATTATGCAGTTAGAAAGAGAAAAAACACATTTATTGAACCATAAACAAAAGTTACACATTTCAGTTGCAATAAAACATGTATATATAACATATCTCACTCACTTTTTTCACCATATCTCAGAAACTAGAAGTGCTAGGACTCTACGATTTTGTATAGAAGATCTTATAATGATGTAGGTGGTAACTAATGAAAAACCATGGGGGCGAAGTCACGGGCAACAGCTAGTAATTTATAAATCCGAACAAAATCCTCAAACAAAGAAAATTGTTACGTGGCAAATAGCAACACTAATGACCTGAATATTGTAAGAGAAGAGAACATTATGGCCGCACGCCACGCCATTCCTGTAACTTTGGAGAACTTATCCAGGTAGACTTGATACATTTTTAACGAATGAACATATAAGAT